GCGCTAAGCTAGTTGCTGGCTAAATATTTATGCGTTGTTGCCCGCCGGCTAAACGTCCCAGAAATTCCGAAAAGTTACTACTTGAGCGAGAGGAAGAAACTCGTCAGAACTAAGACCAACTCGAGTCAATCAAGTGAAACAAGAAGAAGAAGCTTGCTGACGATCAATATGGAAGGGGTTGTTAGGGGGAACTTGTTGCTGATGGAAATTATGTGGAAAATTTAATTATTTCGCGAAAATCATAAAAATATGTCGGGTTTTTTACTTTAGTCATGACCGTGACTAAAGTTGAGACTAAAGTAAAAAAGTGAATTTGAGACAAATTTAATTATTCCGCAAGAATCTTAAAAATATGCCGGTTTTGCTACTTTAATCACGACCATGACTAAAGTCGTGACTAAAATAAAATTTAATTTGCAAGGCGAGATTCTTGACTTCAAATAATTCTGAAATTTATCAAAAAATAACAACTGCCACTTTTCCACTTTAATCACGACCGTGACTAAAGCTGTCACTAAAGAAAAAAAGTGAATTTGAGAAAATTTAATTATTCCGAAAAATAATAAAAAATATGCCAATTTTTCTACTTTAGCCACGACCGTGACTAAAGTCGTGACTAAAGTGAAAAGTCGAGGTTCATGATAGTAAATAATTCAAAAAATTATCAAAAATAACAACTACCACTTTTTCCACTTTAAACACGGCCGTGACTAAAGTCATGACTAAAGTCCCGTTTAAGGCGGATTTGAAAAAATTTAATTTGCAAGTACAGATTCTTGATTTTAAATAATTCCAAAAGTTATGAAAAATAACAACTATGAGTCCTTTAAGTGAGTTAGTCCCTAACCTCACTGATCCTTTGATCTTGCAGTGACTTGCCTCGAAGTAGTTGGCTTCTTGTGCAATTTTTTCTCATCCCTCTAAGACTTCGTTATCCTGCGCTTCGTTTGCGCTATGCATGCGGCGTGGTGGCGTGCGAGAGAGTTTTTGCCGCCCCGCTGCCGCCCCCGCGAACTTTGCACCCAGTCCTAGACTCGCAACAGTTTCTCATCCTGTCTTAATCCGACCCTAGACCTCAACTCTCGACAATCCAAGACACTTTTGCCCTCGGAATAAAATCAAACAAAACCCCCACGCTGCGGCTAAAACGTCTCGCATAAATTACAGAATTAAAAGCAGCGCCGAATATAAACCGTATGCAAGTTTTTACAGCGCACAGATTTTTTCGGTTTGTTAAAAGAGCGTAGCCTCCGTCGGGGGCGGGTGGAAAAAATACAATATAAATATGTAATCCTCGTCGAAAAATGTTGACTTGCGAAAAGTTCGCTTTAAGCTTCGGTAATTTATCACGTCGCAACGAGAAAAAGGATTAAAATTTAAATGGAGCCCGGCGAACAATTTTATTAATTACTTTTATTGCTCACACAACACTTTTGCGAAACGCTGCGACTGTATTTTTGCATTCCGGCGATAAGAGATAAAACTTTCGGTCGGCGAATAATTTGCGCGCGGCGAAAATCGCAATCATGCAGGCGGCGCGAAAGCTTTTAGGACACCGACTCAAGACAATGAAAGTCTCGTCTGCCACTGGCAGCTTAATTGTAATTCTTAAACATATAAATCATCAAAAATGTACGAGCATAAGACAAGCGCTTCGGAGAAACAGATGGAAGACGACGTTGCGTAAACTTTCAAAGCTGTTTAAAGATAGTTACAGGATTAATTCATAGATGGCAGCACCAGGATTAAAATTGACTTAAGTCAGTTTGTTAATATAATGTGACTTAAGTCACATTATACTTAACATACTTAACATACTTAACTAAGTTAAGTATAAGGTGACTTAAGTCATATTATATTAAAAACTGACTTAAGTCACATAAAGTTTTTTTTGTTTTTGTGATTTTAACAAACACATCACGTAATTGACAATAGCTCGACCTCGGGGGTGGCGTAGCAAGTGGATTAGCAAGTGTCTGGCACACTCGTTTGCCGTCACCGCCACCGCCGTCGCCGCCGCCGACAAAAGTCAACTTTTCACATTACCGACTTTTCCCTTCTGGGACATGGTGGAAAATTTTGATGCGCGTCCCCAATTATTTTTATTTTTCCGGTTTTCCAAAACAAAACATTTTCCATTAATTTATCACTCAAGTGTTTTCTAATGAGACGAAGACGCAGCAGCTAAATATAGCCTACTCGTAGGTGCGTTGAAGATTGTTGAAAATCGTTCGACGAATGCTTTCCGGCATCTTTCACATCGAACTTGAAAGCCCATCGCGCGCGCAATTTTCGCACACATTTCCCGAACGCGTTCGCTCACGTTAAGTACGTACTTGGAGACGTTACCGCGTTTCCTCGGAGTTTTCCATGCGAAGAACCCACTCGACGCGCACACGTCGAAGAACGCAAAGTGACGGAACGCCTTCATCGCATTCTCATCGTCGTTCTATGCGAGCAAAGAGAGTGAAGACATGTCCAGGCAACTGTTTCTTCTTCTTCGTCTTCAATTCAGTTCGGGGCCATTTTTTCCGAAAAATGTTCGGAACGTGAAATGCGCAAAAACGCGCAGCAGAAACACGTTGATAAAAGTTGGCAGATTTTAAAGTCACGTACGTGCGGGGATATTGCCTCGAGACGAGCGATATGCCAAGATGTTTTCCGAGTGACATGTTGTTCGCTCGCTACAATGCATCCAACCGGGGGTGGCATATTGGAACGGAGAGAATGTGATGGCGTCTCGTATTTCCTTCCAGCAAATAACGTGTGAAACTTTCCTAATACATCATAATGCATATTTCTTTTCTATTCGAGTATTTTCTTTGTTTTCTAAATCGGAAACACATTTTTACGCCGGAAACAAATAAATACAAGCTGGTTATCTGCGTCTGCAGACTTAGAGGGATAGTATGAATGGCGTGCGTGGTTAAAGAGGGTCACACAAGCAATGGCCACTTAAATTAACGCCGTGAGTGGTCTTGAGGTTCCAGCAACCTAACTAAGAAAGCCCAACGGCGGGTCATTACAGCACGGGTCCATTCCAGTCACGTCGCGCTACAATAACCAGAAGAGGCGGTTGTTCGGGTTGTGTTCATAAGTAAATATTATAACAAACCCACAAGACGTGGTCCATAGCCCACTTAAAATGATCCCCAACTCAAAATGTTTTTATGTAAGAAATCTAAGTGTTTTCCAATTAAATTCCGAAAACTTTTCCACTTTAACATCTCAAAAGTCAGTATATCAACAACTGGAGTGGTACCACATACAACCCACACCTATCCAACGATACTCCTTGGTAGTTACAAGTTGTAATTAGTTTTCGACACGTTTTGTTCCGCTGCCTCTTTGAGAATGCACTTCTGCATGTTGTTGTTTTCCATCGGGCGTTTAGCGTTTCACATTTCCCGAGCCCTTTGATTTTCTTCTGCGCGATATTAATACGCTGCGCGCTCTGCGTTAGCTGATCGTTACATTATGCGAAATTCTCGAGCTAATTGGAAACTCGACTTGGCAACTTAGTTTGTCGTAAACAACAATTATAAGACCAGGTCTGCGGTGGTGGCCTGCGCCTTCGCTTCGGGTAGTTTAATTTAGTTACGGGCGTACTTCCAGCGTTTTAAAACACAGCGAGAGAAAATTCGCCGGAAATGAATAAGTTTTCTTCCTTGTTCTTGTAAATTGTTCACAACTTCCTCGAAAGCTGAATTCATGTTTAATGTTTAATTAAAACATCACAAACAATTATTTTAAATATTTCAATCCGGTTCGCGGGATTCAATGTGGATCAAATGTCAAATATTGATGCAAAAACTATCGCATAACAATGGTCCAGTTTATTTCCTCGAGATTATCGGTGAGCAACAAATTTTTAACTGGTTAACCTTCAATCGATAAATTTTATTTCATAAAAAAAATTAATTTACATAATTGTGCCATGTTCTCGCACAAATATCTACATGAAATGTTGATTAGAGATTATTGAATTTCGTTGCGCGTGTTTTTGTTTATCGTGCTCATCAAAAACAAACATTTTTTGATGATGACAGTTATTTGCTTTCAATGTACACATCGAAAATGTTTATTTTTAGGCACAAAATTTTTATCGAAATTTATTCACAAAGTCAAAATTGGATACGTGCGGATATTATTACGTTAATTAGCCCGCCGGCATTGTAATTAATTATTTAATGCGCGCTGCATTACGATGTAGCGATCGGAGCGCGTTGTGTGGCCGTTATGATAAAACAATACTCCCACTATTTACGGTCACGGTGCTAGCAATAAACCAGCAAGCGTTGAGAGAGATGCAGGCGGCAGCGGGCGGGGGCGGCAGCACATTTTAGATTGCGCCCTGGCATTATTTTGTCGATTTGCATATTTGATTCTCGTCGCGTTCCTTGCGTCTGTTTATTCAATGTATGTATCAAACACAACAGGCCGACATGACGGGCTTCATATTCAGATAAATTGTTTTTAAAAAAACAACAAACGATATCGCATATTGTGAGCTTTTGATGGCTTTCATTACGATCGTGCAATGTGTTTTTAATTACTCGATGAAAAAATATGAAATTTTTGGAGACAAAATTTTTTTCTGCGAAAAATAGAATTCTTTTCATCTTACGCCGCAGGGCAGAGGCTCGGGTTATTGCTTTAATATTAGAAACTCGATCGTTTATGAGATGACTGCACAAAAGGAAAAAATAAAATGTCTAGAGTCGCCAAGATGAAAGCGAAAAGTCGGATCTAATTAAGATTTGCGAAAAGTTTTAACTCAACTAGAAAAAAATATAAAAACATGAAATTCCTGCAATCTCAACATACATTTCTCCACTTTCCGGGATTAAATCCTAACTGAAATCCCTGAAAACCGGAAATCCCTGAAAACCGGAAAACCGGAAAATTCATTTATTTTTGATCTGTTTCCAAATAAAATAAAAACTTTCGTTGGTTAGATGATACTGGCTTGTGAAATTAGTTAATTAGCTTCAAGATACCTGAAGAAGTAACGACCATCACCATCGAGATAATCACAGACGCCAACATGCTGCCCGGAGAGGAAAGTCTCCGATTACAAGAAGAAGTGACTACGCAGCGACGGCGGCAGTGAACACAAATTGCAGCACATCCTATTTTTTATCCCGCACACCGTTGGAGTTTTTGCTAATACTATCCAATCATCCGAGCTTCACAGTTCACAGTTTTCCGCTTTTCCGGTTTCACTTGTTTACGAACTTTTTAGCTGGCGCGCGGATTACACTCACGTCGATCGGCACTGCGCGTTTGACACTGGCGGGAGCGGCGGCAGTAGGAGTAGCAACAGCGGCGGCGGTGGCTCTCCGGCGGCGGTTCGAGACGCTTGGCATCGCGGCGCGCTACCGACTGGCCTGAATTTCCACCGACCGCTTTCCACTGACATGCGCTCCTAAATCCCTCATATAAATTCCATACCTACCCGCCGCCACCGCCACCGCCAGTGGAGGCGGCCGCTGCCTTATAGTACCTTGCGTTATGGCAATCTCACAAGTCTGATAACTTAGTGATATTTTTCCGAGTAGGAAACTTTAATGTTTATTATAATTAAATTTCCTCATAAAAAAAGAATAAATTTAATATAAAATATTAAAGTTTTAAAAATCAAAGGTAAAGAACAGGTAAAAACATATTTATTAATAGTAATATCTATAAACACCCTGTATATCTTTGTGGAAACTCATATTTTGGTATTAAACTTCTTTATTTACCTTTAAACCATCATAAAACTCATAATAAATCAAAAATTTAGTGAAAAACCATTCAAAATGCTAAAAAAGACACCATACCATCAATTTCATGGTGAGACTTATTATGAATTCCCCTGTATCATTGTCTATACCTTCCAGAAACATACCAGTAGTCCACACCAACTAAAACATTGTTTAAAAATATTTTTGTTTAATTTGTGATCTCATTAAAGATTCACTTAGTAACCTACCATCAATCTATGAAACAGGTTTGTGTGGTTTTTTTCCCTTATGCATTTTATTAAATTTTTACTATAAAAGACCTGCACCTCATCGATTTTAGTATAGTTGACTACCAACTGCACTTCAAACAACACTACCAATATGAAATTCTTGGTAAGTCTTTAAATCTTAAAGGTACCATCAATATATTCTACAAATTTTTATATTTAGATTGCTTTCGCCGCCGTTTTGGCCGTTGCCGCCGCTGTGTATGTCCCATACACTACTGGTGTAGCCACCTACACTCCATACGGGAATCTACGCTGCTCCAGTCGCTACCTACCATGGAGCTTACGCCACACCATACGCCACCTACGGAGCTCATCACTTGTACAAACGTGGAATCTACACTCCACATGTCGCAGCTGCTTACACTCCATATGCTGCTTATGGTACCCATCATCTCTACAAGCGTGGAATCTATGCCCCAGCTGCCTACCACACCGCTTATTCTACCCCATATACTTTCGGAGCTCACCATTTGTACAAGCGTGGAATCTACACCCCATATGCCGCCACCCCTGTTGCCCACACCGCTTACAACACCCCATTCGCTGGACACCATTACTATTAAAATGTGATTGTTATATTTTGAACAGTTTTATGATGACGACTTGAAAAATAAATGAATATATATTAAAATTAAATTTTTTTTATTTTATGTTTGAAGTCAATATTTGCTTTGAAGGTTAAATTTAGATTTAGAAATTATATTAAGATCAATATCAATGTCAATGTCAACAAGTCAACAACTTGTATTGTAAAGCGCTAAAACAAAGTTGTGTTCCAACTTAACGAATATGAAGTTTCGGTGTGCGAGTAGTTTTATCGGATTGAATAATCTCAATCTGTCGTTAAAAATCGAAAGTTGTTTTTATGTTTTATGTTTGGTGTTTTGCGTTTAGCATTAACACTGGATAACTGTGTTATTATCCTAATATGCCATAAATTAACATAAATAATAAACAAATAAAATGCTAATCGGTTCCCGTACGCAACCTATACTTAAGTAATATTTTATACCTACTAATATTATAAATGCGAATATCCTGACGTCTGTTACACTTTCTTGCAAAAACTACTTAACCGATCATCATGAAAATTTGTACACATATTCTTAGTGGTCTCCGAATGGTTATAGGCTACTTTATTTAATAAAATATTTTTTAAATAAAGAGGAAATTGTTTAGCCAATAATACCTCTGCATCTGGCTATTTGACTACTTTAACGCTATCTAGCATTCCAACAATGAAGCTCAAACTTAAGTACTATAGTACCATCACACTGTATTATCACACTGTATTACCGACAGCTACGTCAACATCAAATCCAATTGACTACACTATGAGACTGTACACTATACTTCCATAGACTATACTTTCAGCCATTTTAAAACTTCTGCCATTCTATTTCCCTTATTGTGCTACTTTTCTGTGACTACAGACGTACAGAAGCTAAATCATTATTTTTGATATTATGAAAGGAAGCCGCGGGTTAAAAGCTAGTAAAATATAAAAATAAAACATACTTTAGGTTAGGAGACAGGTTATGATGTATATGAAGATTGTGCACTTGTAGCAATAATTCTCTATGAACGTATAGAAACAATATAAGACTTAAAACAATTAAACGCAACAATGTGCTCTGCAGTCGCAAGCAGTTTGTGACTAATTAATGCAATACACTAACAGTCTAACAGAATTAATTCGGCTCGGCAGCGAGGCAAACTTGTACGCATGTAAGCAGTGTAAGACGTTGTAAGACATAATACACACACACACACACACACACATAATTACATGTTATATGTTGTTGGTGTAATTTCGGAAATATGCACACGGTGCACGGATGCATAAAGTTTGAGAATGCGAATTGAAAAGTTGGGCATGCGCTGTAAATTAATCGTAAATTGCTTAAATTAGTGTTTGGGTATTAGGTATTTGTATGATGAAAAAGTGGACTTTGTTAATGCAAATGCAGGTTGTTAAGTTGTGAAGATTTGAATGGCCTTGCACTTGAGTGACTTTTTTGGGTGATTTTTGGGTATAAATTTTGGGTACTTTGAGGTTTAGAGCACAGTTTACCTTTAGCCACAGTCTAAACAACAACTAAACACTCACCATGAAATTCCTGGTGCGTTTTTGGTTTTGTAACAAAATTAAAAAGATTTTTAATTATTTTTGTGATTTGATTACAGATTGCTTTCGCCGCCATCTTGGCCGTCTCCGCTGCTGTGTATGTAGCACCAGTTGCTCATTACTCTGCTGCCGCCTACACTCCTTATACTTTTGGAGCTCATCATTTGTATAAGCGTGGAATCTACACCGCTCCAGTTGCTGCCTATTCTCACGCCTATGCTACTCCATATGCCTTCGGTGCCCACCATTTGTACAAACGTGGAATCTACGCTGCTCCAGTTGCTGCCTACCATAGTGCCTATGCTACCCCATACGCCTTCGGAGCTCACCATCTCTACAAACGTGGAATCTATGCTGCCCCAGTCGCTGCCTACTCCCACGCTTACGCCACCCCATATGCCTTTGGTGCCCATCACTTGTACAAGCGTGGAATCTACGCCGCTCCTCTTGCTTACACCGGATACTCCCACGCCGCCTACACCCCATACACCAGCTATTATTGAGCGCAAATCGAAACTGGAATGATCTATTAGTTACCTTTTACAATGTCAATGTAAATAAGAGGATTACGAATAAATAAACATAAAATTTTACGAACAGAATTAATATTTTTATTATTATTATTATTATTAAGAAGAATTGATTCCTAGATAATTACATCAGGAGTATATTGATAGTTATTTTGATGACTTAACTTAAGTCATATCTACTATGAGACATATTGGAGTATAACTATGCATAAAACATAAATTTTTATCAGTAGTAGTTAATTTTTGATCTGGAACTTTACTTAAGTATACGTACTTAGGTACATACTTAAGATATTTTTCTACTTCCACCTTTAAAGCGCCAGTTTATACACGGTTTTTAGACACAAAAAGTGGTACTTTATATACAGACGGCCAAGCCGTACATAATATTCATTATACAACTATAATCAATCAATTAAAATGACAAAAAAAACACAGTAAATATTAGATTCACTTAAGTTACTTGCATATTACTTGAGTCAGTTATCTTCTTGATCTATAAAATACTATACTATAAAATGAATTTGGCGTAAAAATATGATAGCAATATATTAAAACTTAATTAGATGCTTAAAAAAAGGACTAGTTATAGTTAATTATGTGTATATCTTGTTTAAATTGAATAATTTTATTGCAAATTAGGTAAACAACAAAATAAATCTGAATATTTTGGTATAGTTATATGTTATATTTTTTTTGTTAAAAGTTTTTATAAGTTATGTTGTTGACTTTGCGAACTACTCATAGATGCATTTTTTCTTAAGTTTTTTCAAACTGATAAAATATTACCTTGTCCTCGCTTAGGTAAAACTTTAGTATAAATAGCTGCCGAGTTGTAGGTAAGATCACAGTTGAGTTTTAGCAGCAGTCTAAACAACAACCATGAAATTCCTGGTAGGTTTAATTTGTTTAAACAATAGAAAATGTGTTAATTATTACATTGTTTATTATAGATTGCTTTCGCAGCCATCTTGGCTGTTTCCGCTGCTGTTTACGTAGCCCCAGCTTATCATGGTGTAGCCGCCTATGGTGCTTACACCCCAGCTGCCTACCATGGAGCTTACGCCACCCCATACGCTGGTATCTACGGTGCCCATCATCTGTATAAACGTGGAATCTATGCTGCTCCAGTTGCTGCTTACCATGGTGCTTATGCCCATGCTGGTTATGCCCACCATGCTTATGCTACACCATACGCTGGAGTCTATGGTGCTCACCATCTTTACAAACGTGGAGTGATCGCCGCCCCAATCGCCTATGGTGCTTATGCTCATGGTGCCTATGCCCATCATGGTTATGCTCACTCCGCCTATGCTACCCCATACGCCTTTGGTGCCCACCATTTGTACAAGCGTCAGATCAATGGCCCGCCCTTGATTTCTTCTTTATTTGGAGGTGGACTAGGTCATTAGTTACCTTTTGAACCGTTGTGTAAATAAAATAATTATGAATACAAATATTAATAAAATTTAAATTATTAATATTAGTATTATTATAATTATATTCTGAATTACGTATATATATTTTTTATTAAATAAGTATAATGTAAAGAGACAAAATAGTTCAACAATTGATTCCAGATTGCAGCACTAGGACCTTAATACAGCAAG